AATTTGTGGAAAGTTTTGATGTCCCAGCCCTGGAAGTGTCCAAGGCCAGGGCTTGGAGCAACCTGGGATGGTGGAAGTTGTCCCTGCCCATGGCAGGGGGTGGCACTGGATGGGCTTTAAGGTCCCTTCTGACCCAAACCATGCTGGGATTCCATGGAAGACATTCCTGGAGGAATGCTGGTGATGGAGCAATACAGCTTCCTTTAAATGAAGTTTATCAGACTTTGCCTTTCCAGTTTCCCCCTGAAATTCCAGCTCATCCATCACAAAAACAACCCCGGTGAAGGCAAAGCGCTGGTTTAAAATTGCACAAACCTTGAGAAAAAAATGAGCTGGAGGAAAAAGGGAAAACTGGGTGAGTGTCACTGCTGTGGCACTCAGATCTGTGACTTCACACTGGATTTTCAGCAGTGAGGAGAAGCTGCTGTGCCTCAGCATCCCTGATCTGCCGCCAGGGATTCCTAATGAGTTTGCAAATGAGGGAAGTGCAGCTGGAGCTTCAAACAAGCAGGAGGGTGGCCAGGCTAAAAGACTTCTCCTCTGGCCAGGGAGGTGACAGGGGATGGGGCTGACACCAGCCCTGTGAGGCAAAATGAGGATTTATTGGAGCAAAGCTGCTGCTGAGGGAGCCTGGCAGGGCTCTTGGGGTAATTAAAATAATCAGTTAAAGCCTGGGATGGAGGCTGGGGGCAGATATGTATGGTTTACTCCCAACTTCTGAGGAAAAACTGAATGAAAGAGAGGGAAAAAAAGAAAATAAAGTAAATTACAAGGAAGTTTTAGTGGTTTTATGGGTCTAGGGAGTACTTCCACCATCCCAGGTTGCTCCAAGCTCCATCCTATCTGGCCTTGGACACTTCCAGGGATGGGGCAACCACAGCTTCTCTGGGCAACCTGTGTCAGGGCCTCACCTCCCTCACAGGGGAGAACATGGCAGAGTCCTGCTGAGGTGAACAAAACACGTTTTGGTGGCCTCAGAGTGGACCAGCACCAACATTTTACACCCAACCCTCAGTGGAAATGCTCCAGGCCAGGTTGGATGGGGCTTGGAGTGAGGATAGTGGAAGATGTCCTGGATCATGGCAGCAGGGCTGGACTGAAAGGCCTTTAAAGGTCCCTTCCAACCCTTTAAAGGTCCCTTTTTGAGCCAAAATATCCCAAAATTTAATGATTCATCACTGAGCAAATGAGGGTTATCCAGTTCCTGACCAACTCCAGCTGGTGATTTCAGGGGTTAAGGGGATCAGAGACCTCAAACATGGGGCTGTTCCCTTCAGGTCAGACGTGACTCACATCTGTGGGATGGTTTGTGGTTCTGCAGATCTGAAGAGGACGAAAATAATTCTAAAATAATTCTGCCTGCCAAGGGCACTGCTTGAAAATGTCCACATTCAGCTCCCCTGGCCCTGGGATGCACTGAACATGCTGGTGAAAGTTTATTTTCTAAAATAAATTAAAACCCTGCCTAAAGGAATTGCTTTTGTGCAGCTCAGAACTCCTCGGTGGAGAACTCGCACATCTGCAGCTGACTTACACAGGAGCTGTCTGAAAACTTCCACAAAAGGCAGGAACTGCACTGAATGTTCTCCCCCAGAGGAGAAATTATCTGAAGAAACACTGGAAGCAACAGGGAGAGTCAGGCTCCCACCAAAAGATAATTTTGTCTCTCATTTTAAGCTAGAAAAGGAGATTTAGCACCAATTCTGCAGTCGGTGGGTTGTACCCTCTTGATGTGAAACACATAAACAAGAGATGAAAACATCTTGGTTGTAACACCACGCCACTGCAAAAAAAAAATTTTGAAATATGAGGCTCAGAACCATTAAAATTGCTTTAAAATTATCCTTGAATGGGAAAAAACCCCCATGGATCAGCCATGCCTGCTCCTTAATGGATGCTGCTGGCAGGAAGCCAGCCTGGAAAGACAATTAATTTGTTCACAATAATAAATAATAACATAAAGCCTCCCTCAAAGCGTGGAGCCATCAGCATTGGTGAGCCATCTAAAGCTGCTAGCTGGGACCATCCTTTTCCTTAATAACCACTCATTTGATGGGATGGAAACATTCCAGAAGCTCTCGGGGATGGCTCCTTGGAAAACCACTCCATGCACAGAGTGGGTGCTGTGGTAATTAGCTCCAGCAAGTCATTATCCTCCAAAACAGCTGCACACCCTGACTTTTTAAGGAGTTTTATTTTTTTTTTTTTGGATTTTCAGCTGCTGGAGTTTGGCCAAAAAAAGTATCAGGAGCATCATCCACACCATGCTAAAAAACAACAGAGGTTCTGAGGGAAAGGAAAAATCCCATTCTGCTGCTCCAGAGTGAAGCAATTTGCATTTTTTTGGAGATGGAGCAACAGGTTTTTAAGGTCAGTGACCACCTGGGTGGGAAGATTTATCACCTCGTTGAGAACCCTACAAGAACAGGCTGCAAGAAGCTGTCGAGGCACTTGTAGCCTAATTTAGGATCGATTTAAACAATTACAGCCTGAAATTTAATGCTGAATAATTTTGAGACAAATGAGTTTCACGGTGATTCAGTCTCGCTCTGCAAAGGAAAAGGGTTTCAAGTATTTTATATTTGAGGAGGGAAGAACGGAAAACAGGCGGTAAAGTGGAATATTTAGAGAGGACAATTTTTAAGGATAATCTTTAAAGGAATGGGTGATTCATCTGTGAGGACACAATGCTTGAAAATCTCTTATCTCCCACCTAAGTCAGCTCAAACATGTGCTGATAATGATCCCAAAGCAGCTTTATCAGCGGAGGGGCAGATAAATTCCCCAGTCCTGCTCCAATCACAGCCGGAGAGGCTTCAGAGAGATATTTGGGGTAGCAAAGAGTGGGATGTTAAACCAGGAACCCACGGACAGGAAAAAAAAACAACTGGGGGAGAGCTTCATTCACCACATTTCCATCATATCCATGAGGTGATGGGGGCAAAGACTCCAGAAACAGATTTTTTTTTTTTTTTTTTTCCCCCTTTAATGGAAAATCAATAGGATTATTTTAGGCAGCTATTTGGATGAGTTGGTTCAAAGAGGCAGCAATTTTTCTTCTCTGTTCAGAGAATTACCCTTCTCTAATGTCGGGAACAAGGAGACCTCCTGACCACAGACAGTTTGACCAAGAATAATTCCAGTTCAAAATAATTTCCATCCATCAAGTGAAACAAATTGTAGGAACTGGACGAGAAAATTCCAAGGCACTCTGAGAGTTCAACCCTGAAGGAACTTTAGGGAAATATATTGATATTATAGAATATATTTTCATGTGAAATGAAGCCACGTGCCACAAAAAATACTTTATCCATATTAAGATTGGTAAAGCTTGGGAATGAAACAATCCAGAGATTCTGTGCAGCTCCAAAACATCATTCCAGCTCCTGTAAATAGAATTTTGGCCCCTTTCTAAAGGAGCTGTTCCCCTCTAAGGACTTCTGGAAATGCTGTTCTGGAATTTAATTTTTTTTGGCTCTGCAAGGACCATCCCAGCACTGCTGTACCCAGACAGGCACAGAGTTAGTGACCATTAATCCATAAAAAAATCTGGAAATGGGAACAATAATACAGTTATTCCTATTATTGCATGGCATTATAATATCCCTGTGTTTTACAGCTGTAAACTGGGATAGAAAATGGCCACATAAACCTGGGGAAAAAGGTGCTGCTTCCTCAGGATTCTGCCAGTATTACCCATCCCTGAAGAGAGGATTTTCCAGGAAAGAGGGAATAACTTCAAAGGATTAAAAGAGCCTGACATAACCATCAGTCAGAGTCAGTTCATTCTTTGCAGTCCCATGAAATCCTGAATTTTGGGGTGGGATTCCACACTGTCCTGCTCCCCACGGACTTGGGGTGACAACTTGCTGCTTTTATCACTGCTCCACACTGGAGTTTTTAAAAAAGATGTTTCAAAGGAGACTTCTCCTACAAAAACTACACCTGCAACCCAAATCCCTCACAGCTTTTTCTGGTGGAAGGAGCCGTGGGGCTCCACATGGATCACCAACGTGCTTGGGAGGATTGGATCCCATCCCTGCTCCTCCTGGGAGCTTGGGATGTGCATTCAGCTCTGTGACTGGCAGGTGTCCCCAGAACTTCTCAGGGAGACACACATGGAAATATTCCTGCCCAAGATCCCATCCATCCACTGCCAGGGATCCAGGGCAGCCCCAGCTGCTCTGGCAATCCCAGCCCAGCCAGGAATTCCTCATTCCCAAGATCCCATCCATGGCTGCCCTCTGGCAGTGGGAGCCATTCCCTGTGTCCTGTCCCTGCAGGCCTTGTCCCCAGTCCCTCTGCAGCTCTCCTGGAGCCCCTCCAGGCCCTGGAATGTGCTGGAAGCTCTCCCTGGATCCTTCCCTTCTCCATGGGGAACATTCCCAGCTCTCCCAGCCTGACATTGGATCCATCTCCTCTCCAAGAAATTCATGGACCCAGGGGCTTCACTTGGGATCTCAGGAAACCATGAAGGGTCTCCCTTCCCTTTCCCTCTCTTTTCTATCCCCATTTTCCATAAAAATCCCTTGGGATGGTTCCTGAGTGTCCCAAATCCCAGAATCCTGGACCAGTTTGGGTGGAAAGGGACCTCAAAGCTCATTCCAGGGACAACTGCCATGATCTCAGGGTGCTCCAGTCCTTCCTGGGACATTCCAGGGATCCAGGGGCAGCCCCAGCTGCTCTGGCAATCCCAGCCCAGCCAGGAATTCCTCATTCCCAAGATCCCATCCATGGCTGCCCTCTGGCAGTGGGAGCCATTCCCTGTGTCCTGTCCCTGCAGGTTTTGTCCCCAGTCCCTCTGCAGCTCTCCTGGAGCCCCTGGAATGTGCTGGAAGCTCTCCCTGGATCCTTCCCTTCTCCATGGGGAACATTCCCAGCTCTCCCAGCCTGCCTCCAGCTCTCAGAGCAGCTCCACATTTTTCCTTATCGAACACACAGCCAGGTCACGGCTGGACAAGGACACCCAGGGATGTCCTGAGGGGCCCCTCAGCTCCTACCTGCAGCAGAGGCCTCTGCACCCCCAGGACCTTCATGGTGTCGGCGTTGGCCAGGATCTTCAGCGGATCCGAGGCCTTGGTGACGCCCTCGATCTCTTTGTTGATCTCGGCCAGGACCTGGTTGAGGAAGATGTTCTTGATGTAGACGGTGAGGAACTCCCGCAGCGGGCACTGCTTGGCCGGGCCCAGCTCCATGGCCAGCTCGATCTCCTGGATAAACCTGGGACACAGAAAGGGGAAGGACGAATTGCAATTAAATGTAATTAAATGATGGAGACGCTTTAGGTTTGGTGGCGTCGCTTTCGCCACTCCGACGTTTCAGCGTGGGAATGGCCATGGGCTGTCCCAGCTTGAGGAATGAGGAGGAGAAAAGGCCCACGGGGCAGTTTTAGGGGAAAAAAATTACTAACTGTCGTCCTGATTCTTAAGATTTTCTAAAGCCTTCTGAGTTTACATTCTGTTAGAAAACTTTCCTGCACAATTTCTATAAACAACATATTGTTTTACATTCCTTCATGGGGGTGGAGAGACTTAATGTACTAGTAGTTTGTCCAATGTCTTTGGAGAGGTGGCCCATTCACTCTCCAACCCACTGTCACCTTTAGAAAAGTATAAAAGTTGGAGTCAGAGAATAAACCTTCCTTCTTCTTTACCTTGCAAATAGCAGTGGCTTGCATTGTGCTTTCACGTGTCCTATAGCGACAACTAACGATTGGTGAGAGAAAAATTAAATTCCTGGAGATAAGGACAGATATGATGAGAGAAAATCCACATCTCAGGCACAATTCCTGTTTGTTTGTTCAAAAAAAAATTGGTTTTTCCATTTGGGACATGCTGGGAATATGTCCTTTTAAAAAGTTTGGCTTTTCCATGTGGAACATGCTGGGAAGATGTCCTTATAAAAAAATTTGATTTTTCCTTTTGGGACATGCTGGGAAGACGTCCTTATAAAAAAATTTGGCTTTTCTGTTTGGGACATGCTGGGAAGATGTTTGTATAAAAAAAAAATTGGTTTTTCTATCTCGGACATGCTGGGAAGATGTTTGTATAAAAAAATTTGGCTTTTCTGTTTGAGACCTACTAGAAAGATGTTTGTATAAAGAAGTTTGGCTGTTCCATTTGGGACATGCTGGAAATATGTCCTTTTAAAAAGTTTGGTTTTTCCATTTGGGACACTCTAGAAAGATGTTTGTATAAAAAAATTGGTTTCTATGTTTGGGACATGCTGGGAAAATGTTTGTATAAAAAAATTTGGTTTTTACATTTGGGACATGCTGGGAGGATTTTCTTATAAAAAAATTTGGCTTTTCCATTTTGGACATGCTAGAAAGATGTTTGGATAAAAAAACTTGGTTTTTTTTCTGTTTGGGACACGCTGGGAAGATGTCCTTACAAAAAAAAACCTTGGTTTTTCCATTTGGGACATGCTGGGAAGATGTTTGTATAAAAAAATTTGGTTTTTCTGTTTGGGACCTTTTAAAAGTTTGGCTTTTCCATTTGGGACATGCTGGGAAGATGTTGGTATAAAAAAATTGGTTTTTCCATTTGGGATATGCTAGAAAGATGTTTGTATAAAAAAAATTTGGTTTTTCCATTTGGGACATACTAGAAAGATGTTTGTATAAAAAATTTGGTTTTTCCATGTGGGACATGCTGGGAAGATGTCCTTATAAAAATAAAATCACCATTAAAAAAAGCTAAGATGCCACAAATCCCTTTAAAAAGCCAAGGTTCCTTCTGGGCGTGGTCAATTGATTCCCCCAGGTGGGTTTCCTCCACCTCTAAACTGAACAACAGAATATTCCAGCTCAAAATCCAGAAAAAAACATGGAAAAAAAGCAATGTCTGTGCATGATGCCATTATCCTCCTGAATTATGGATGTCTGTGTTATGGTGTATTTTTATCACCCTTTATTGTTCCATCCCAGGATCCCATTCCTGAGCACACAGAGCAGCAGGATGACTCTGGGAATATTTTAGCACCAAATGTTTGCCATCTCCCTCAAATCTCTTTATTTCTGTGCTGCCATCTGCTTTACCACTGAGGAGTTTATTCCAGAAATTACCTCGTCATGTCTTTAACTACATCTGAGGCAGTGGAATTGGCATTCCTTTCACAACAATTAGGGATTGAGTACCAGGAGCCATAATGGATTGAGATATGCTGTCCTGAGGAAGGTTTAGGTTGGATATTAGGAATAATTCATGCACTGAGAAGTGGTCAGGAGGTGGAGCAGGCTGGCAGGGAAGTGTGGAGTCGCCATCCCTGACAAAAAAAAAAACCAGGGATGTGGCACTTAGGACATAGTTTGGTGGTGAACAATGGTTGGATTTGATGATCTTTGAGGTCTTTTCCAACCTCAAGGATTCCATGATTTTAATCCTTACCACTGAACTCATTCCCAAACCTTTCAATGAGATCTGCCTAATTATCTATCATTTTCTACCTCCACATTCCTCACTCCAGAGGAGGTGCTTCCCTTCCCAGCACTGACTGAAGAGCCAATTCCTGTGGATGATTTCTTTCCAATCTGAGCTCTTTTTTCCCCTAAATCCTTTCCCTGTTGACTCCATGGGTCTGGAGTGACACCTTTGGACCTTCCGTGGGGGGATCCCTTTGGAGCTCAGCTGGAAGATTGGTTCTCCAAAGGGAGAGATGCTGCAGGGAGGGGAATCACAGAGCCAGGCAGCTTTATTCCCTGGATTTCATCGGGTGAGGATGGGAATCAGCTTTGAAAAACAGGGAAACAGAGGAGTTTCCTGGGAAGAGAGCAGAGACTCCACAGGGCTGATCCCAGAAATATCAGAGCTGATGTCACCAGCTCCGAGTGGCACCACTCATGTCCTTAAGGGGATATTGCCAGGGTTGATGGGACAGTGTTGAACTCATTTACTGTGTCCTTTCATGGCTGTCAGTAAATCTCTGACTCTTCCTTTATAAGTTTATTTACAGAGCACAAAACTCCCCCAAAACGTGAATTTTACTGTTAAACCCCTTTCAGGTGGGAAGGAGAAGATCATAAGCTCAGTGGGAATGAGCATCATCCAGCAAAGTGACAGGAACAACTTTTAAACACTTTTAAAATCCAGGAAATGCTCATAAATGGCTAAAGCAAGTAAAAGAAGCCTTTTAGAGGGAGAATGACCACGTGCCAACCACCAGAGCTCAGATGTGCTGACCTACAACAGGAGTGACAACTCCTCGTCCCACAACATCCTGATGGCATTCCCGAGTGTCTCCTGCACCACAGACAAAAGGTCAGTGCTGGAAAATGCTGTCACCAAGAATTTTTGCTTCCCAGTGCCTGGCATTAACCACCATTCCAGATCCTCCCTAAAGATCTGTGCCTTCATCTCCAGAAAACTTCTCCTTGATGTGTCCTGTTAAGTTTTAACATCTTGGCACGGATAAGACAAGAGTTCACCTAATGCTGGTCAGGATCAAACCATATCCCTGTTTTCCTTGATAGGAACCATAAAATAATCATGGATTACCAGGGAACTGCCAGACATTGCTGACTGAGGGGGGATTTGTGAGTGTTCAGCATCACTTGTGATAAAGAACAAATGATCAGGAGCTTAGGAAGCAGGATTCAACTCAACAGCAGCAGAAAATTATTAAGAATGAAGCCATGCAGGGCACGGAGAACTGGAGGACACGGATGGGAGACCTTCAGTTGGGATGCCCAAGGATAGTCTGATGAATTTATTACGGGAACAGCAAGAGTGAAGTCTTAATTTAATCCCAAAGATTCATGGAAGCAGAAAAAGTAAAGAAAAACAAACTATGGATGTCAGAGTGTGGCTTTCAGCAGGGAACACCCCAGTGATAGTAAAAGGGTTTTAAGATCATGGGGATTTAGGGTTAAAAGGAAAATTAAGCTTAGTAGGCCCAGGAAAAAATAAATACCCTAGGTACATGAAGGCTGTGTACCTTGCTAGAACTGCAACTGTGTATCTAGCCCATGATAAATGATATAATTGTTAGATGTGATAATTGTTTCGTAATTAAATATAATTACTGTTTAATTGTAAGAATAAACATGAGAAACTGTGGTCAGGGGCCTAAGAAAGATCACGAGAAACTCATGTCAATGTATACAATAGAACAATGTAAGTTTAATAATTAATATGTGAGTTATATAAGGATAGAATATAAAATACATTCAGCTCGAAAGTCATGTCAGAGACAGATTTGGGTCTGGACCCCTGATTCCCAGAGCTCTCAATAAAAGCACCTGCAGATAATCATATCCCATGATTATGTGTGTTCCTGAATGCTAACACCAGGAGTTCCTGGATTTGTTAATCCAGTGGGACAAGTTACTTTTTACAGCCTCAGAAGACAACTGGGATCCCATTTGCTGGGATCTCTGTGGTTCAGAGATGACCTCTCCAAATTTCCAGCAGGCAGAGTGAGTCCCACACTGCTCTGCACCCGAGGCAGCCACTGTGGAGCTGCAGCTTTCCAAAATCCCACTGGGCACAGGACCAGGGGGCTCAAGCAAGAGGCACAAAGTTCCAGGTGTAGGTGAGATTTGCACCAGGAATCCTTCTGGGACACCAAATGGTGCGTGGCAAGTACATTTCTCCCCCTCTCAGGATTTTTCATAGAGGTGCACAGAGAGAAATGAAAGAGAAAACAATTTCTGTTTCTGCTCCTTGTTTTTCCCATGTGGAATGTGGTTGGAGAATTGTTTCCCTGGGGTGATGCTTGGTTGGGTTCTGGTGAGGATTGTTTGAGCTGATGGCCAATCCAACCCAACCCAATCCAATCCAACCCAACCCAATCCAATCCAATCCAATCCAATCCAATCCAATCCAATCCAATCCAATCCAATCCAATCCAACTCAATCCAATCCAATCCAATCCAATCCAATCCAATCCAATCCAATCCAATCCAATCCAATCCAATCCAATCCAATCCAATCCAATCCAATCCAATCCAATCCAATCCAATCCAATCCATTTCAATCCAATCCAATCCAATCCAATCCAATCCAATCCAATCCAATCCAATCCAATCCAATCCAATCCAATCCAATCCAACTCAATCCAATCCAATCCAACTCAACCCAATCCAACTCAATCCAATCCAATCCAATCCAATCCAATCCAATCCAATCCAATCCAATCCAATCCAACCCAATCCAACCCACCAGGGGCTGGACTCTCAGAGAGGGGCACGAGTTGTGTTAAGAGTTAGAGATAGGGTGAGG